GATCACAGTGCTATGGCCCTCAAATGTCTTCTCTTTCTGATGTAAAAACGTGCAGACCCCTTCTGATGATATAGGGGGCCCTTCCTGGTGTATGTGCTGCTCATGATTTGAGTCTTAGATTCTGAAACAAGCTGCATTTGATTGCTGCCCATACACTCCAGATGTAGGGCCTCCTTTTCGCTTGTCTTGTCCCAGGTTTGTCCCTCACTTGGAAAGGCCCCTTTCCCTAATGGGATCATCACCGAGTCCTCTAGGACTCATCTCAAGTCTTACAGGACACCATGGCTGTGATTTCACAGTCAACTCTTTTGGCACCTGTAACTGATTACACATCCAGTGAGCTCCTGAGAATGCTTAGAGTCCGGTCCTAACGCAGAACCTGACAGGGCTGGCAATCAGTACATGCCAAAGGCAAGGCAGGAGGGTGGTTTGCTTTGGTCAGGGCACTGGAACAGAATCTATTCTATTTAGTATAATAAAGTTTAATCTTTTTGTTTTCAAAATTGAAATTAAATTCAGTAAATATGAAAGTAAGACTTTAAATTGTGATTTGAGTTCACTAGTTCATTTAGTTGTAAGCAGTGTTAACAACCAGAGAACTTCATTGAAACTTGATATAAATGTACAGGAATTGTCTTTGTTATATGCTGCCTTGCTATTTAGAGTGCCATAATTTTACATTATGACAACTTATTTATAGATAGTGGATCACAGAGAAGAGTTTGTCTTTAAAATAGAGCAAACAAGTTTACTCTTCTAAAAGCCGACCTAGTTAGTATCAGACTACCTAATGGCATACTTGATACATAAATGGTAACAGGTGTGAGTGAAGCTCAGTGGTAGAGCAAATATTGAGAAAGTGCAGATAGATAGACAGACAGACAGATAGATAGATAGATAGATAGATAGATAGATAGATAGATAGATAGATAGACGGACAGATAGACAGGTAAATAGATAGAGAGTTGTGATCTCAGCAAGGCAGATTGAAAAGTCACTGTCATTTAGAAAACAGGAACCCTGAATTGCTTCAGGATGCCAACAGGTCCCTCTACTGGCAAGCTGAAGAGTACATTTTCCCAGGAATCAGGTGTTTAATTTTCAGGATTGGTCTAGGCTTGCTTCTTTGCACTCATACCATCATCTACCTGTCTCTTACCCAAAATATGTTTATTGTGTTTGCTAGGCATATGCTGAAGTATAGATCACATCTTACATGGGAAACAGCATAAATATACATCATATCAAGTGGAGAGATATGGAGGAAACAATGGGCAAGCATGGTCACTGTTTTACGTACGATAAACTTTATTCAGTTCCTTTTGCGTATGTCCTGTTGAGTATGACAGATTGCCACATGGATAAGGGTCATTTTGACTCGTGATACTGCAGTGAACCAACTCAGAATCATAAACTTTTTCATGGCATTATAGCCTCACTGGAGTGACTATTCTTTGTGAGGGAAAACAAGATGTAGTAGCTTGCCTGGACCTTTCCAATGCTGTAGTTGAGAACATGATTATGTGAAATAAACGTGAACTTCTCTGTACTGGATTTCAGGTTATATACACTATTTCTTGGGACTCTGAAAAGAATAAATTAACACCTTTTGTTTTTGCAGCCTGACAAATATCCTATATCTAGAAGGTGGAAGGATATGCTCTTAACTGGCCATCTCAGCCTTGAGGGTTTGCCTAGCTGTAAGTTGGACTCCTCCAATCAGATCTTGCTTCAGTCCCCTCACATGAACATTAATGTTTCAGGCTGGCATCAGCATGAGGTATTCTTTCAACAGGACAACAGCACAGGACCAAGTATATTCCATTTACAATCAGACTTGGATTCAGAATGAGAGCTCATTCAGACACCAGTGTCAGTCAATGACTCTCAAGGAATAATTTAATAACATAGCCTCTGGTGATTTTGCTATATTCATCTGGTATATGTTATTATATGAAGAAATGGCATGGAGATTAGTGTTTTACAACTAAGGAGCCAACCATGTAGAGTATAACTGCCTTAGTTAGGGTTTCTATTGCCGTGAAGAGACACTGTTGACCACAGCAACTCTTATAAGGAAAACATTTAATTTGGGGGGTCGCTTACAGTTCAGAGGTTCAGTCCATTATCATCATAGCAGGGAGTATGGCAGCATGCAAGCAGACATGGTACCAGCGTAGTAGCTGAGAGTCCTACATCTTGCAGGCAACAGGAAGTTGATTGAGACCCTGGGCAGTATCCTGAGCATAGGAAACCTCAAAGCCCACCCCTACAATGACACACTTCCTCCAACAAGGCCATACCCACTCCAACAAAGCCACATCTCCTAATGAGATTATGGGGGCCAATTACATCCAAGCTACCACACTAACCAAAGTGTCTGTGGCAGAGAAAAATCTACAATCATACATACAAGACATAGAAGTCTGTGATGGTATGATTAGGCTTTTCAATGCTGAAACAAAGGATCATGTTTACTCCACATACACACATTCTTGCCTAGAGTGGAGACCTGGGAAGGTCCAGACAAACTAAAATCTTGTTCACTTCACAATGACTATCCACTTCAATGGGACTGTAATGCCATGGAAAAGTGTATGGCCCTGCATTGGTAACTGCTATCTCACATGATTCAAATACCCCTTATCTATATGGCAATCTGTCATACTCAGTGATACATACGCAAAAGGAACTGAACAAAGTTTCAGGGGTTGTTGAAAGCTGGAAAATCCATATTGTGAGATAAAATCAAATCTCCCTGGGATCTACCAAGCATGTGAGAAGCACAAGTTAAGAGCAAAACTCTTGTACCACAGTTGTTGAATCTTCTCATTCCAATGATTATACCCTATATGGGAGTTTCTCATCAAAGTACTATCAAATTCTGATGGAAAGTTTCCTTCTAAAAGGTCCTAAAGCCAATGAAACCTTTTAATTTCAATAGTAGGCCTTTCAAACACCAGAGCGTGTTTGAAACTGTTCCAAAATGCCATCAACTATGACATTTTTCAAGTTTAATATGCACACTTACATGTTTGGTTCTATTATTAAGCCAAAAAGTAATTTTTAAAAAATCAGCCTATTTACATACTCTGTGACTATCATTTACTTAAAATATTTTATTATCTTTAATAAGCTCATTTTTTTGTATTGCGACAAAATTGTAATCTCCTATCAAATCCATTTTGAAAGGAAAAGTAATGTTAGGAAGGATCTTTAGTGACTTCAGAAGCCTTTTCCTGAGCAGTGGCAGAGTAAAATGACTTTGGGCAACAGGGGTAGAAACCTTAAGGGAAGGGCTGTTTCTAAGTGTTTGTGTCATTAAACCCATGCTCAACTGTACTGAAACGCCCTCATGTTATAAGTGACATATCTAAGTAAAGGCTAACATTTAATTGATGGCTGAAGAAGGGAAATATTGTTTTAATGTAAGACACAAGAGACATGATGCCTTTTGGTCTACTTTTATTAAGGAAAATGTACACAAATAAAACTTATTCTTTTTAAAATTATAATAAAAAGGGGCTAAAGAGATGGTTCAGTGGTTAAGAGCAATTGTTGCTTTTGCAGAGAACCTGGGCTCAGTTCCCAGCACCCACATGATAATTAACAATAGCTATAACTCCAGTCCCAGAAGACTCTAAGCCCTTTTGGTTTGCATGGGCACTGTATACATATGGTGCATGGACATACATGCATACATAACATCCATACATACAAAATAAAAATAAATAAACCTCTTAAAACTTATATTGAGAAGTGTTTTATTTAGGAAGTCATCTTTCCAGAGTTCAGGTTCTAAAGATTATTTTTATTCATATGTCTTTCTGAGGAACCAACATGAAAGACAAAATTTTCAAGTTTAGAAACCAAGGTGGGATTTTCTCCCTTCATTTCAATTCCATTTTTTTCCTAGCCAGTCTATGCATCAACCTCTTTAAATGCTTTTATTTTAAAACTGCGCCAAAGAAAGAAGTGGGGGGTGGGGGGAGACAATGGCAAAATCAAGTGGTTGTTATGTGGTTTTCTATATAGACATATTCCATCTAAAGAATAACAAATGATTGAATCCATACATCAATATCTTATATATTCCTAATGAAGGAATAAACCTAGCCAAAAATCCTCAGTGCCTAGTAACCTCACGAGCCACTCAATATTAACTTCAAAGAAGTCGTGTATATATAACAAACAGCATCTATGAAGAATTCCTCAGTTACCCAGTGTAAATCTAAACCAAACTAATACTGCATAGGAAACACAAGAGGATAGACAAATGTGAGAGATAAAACATGTTAATGTAATTGGCAAAATATCCAAGTGGGAAACTGTAAGGCAATTGAGTGGGTTTCCTCAACAAATGAATTTCCAAGGTAAAATTCAAAATAGAAACAGAGCACAGAAAAATATACATTAAAAGAAATTTAAGAGACACCTCAATGACATGTAGGATGTCTTTTGGGGTCCTCACTGAAAGTAGGTGCCAAAGAAAGGGTGCATTAACAAGTACATAGCCAACCAAGTAAATGATAGCTGCATCTATGAAGATACTGAGAAACTTTTATTCATCATTTTTAAAACAAGATAACGGTGATACAGTTGTATTTTGGGAAAGTCCTTTCACCTTTTATTGGGAGTACTAATGTTTTTGTGAGATGAATTACAAAATGTCTGAGAGATTTTGTAATTCATAACAATCTAGTTGGTGGAGGGACTGCTTATATCAAACAAAAGTAACAATGGATTCTAACTGGGTATTGTTACCAGACATTCTAACTTTTGGTATGTTTGAAAATGTTCACAACAGAGTGCTCAGAAGACTTTCAAAGGGCTGTTAGGGAATAGGAAGTGGATTAGCTGGAAATGCAGGAGGGATGATGTAGGCAATACCTCAATACTCACATAAAAATATCACAGTAAAGCTGCAATCTTATAATTAACATGCATGGAAAAGCTACAGAGAATTCAAAAGCCAGAGGGAAATGATGGGAAAGACTTACCCTGTTGGATATCCTTCATTTCCAAATGTAAACTAGATATCAAGATTCCCACAGTTTGAGATCGTTTTCCGTCCAATAACTTGATGATCTATAATTTTAAATAAAGAGAGAAAATACAAGCTCAAACAATCATGAAATCCCTCAGGAAAAAAAAAACACCAAAGACTTTAAGACTTTTAGATACAGTGATATACTTACGGAAAAACTGACCCAGTACCACAGGCACTTGACTTAATGCTTAAATGGAAAGCAGTGTGTCTACATTACAGATATTTTAAAAATAAAGGAAAATTCCATGCAGAGTTCAGCTGGTCTAACACAAACAGCAAAAATCTTTAGAGTATTTTACCGATTTTTTTTCTTTCAGGTTTTAAAATACTGTGCCTCACCATGTAGACCAGATTGGCCTAGGACTCATGATCTTTTGTCTCAGCCTCCTGAGTACAGAGGTTATAGGAATGGCCACCACTCCTGACTACTTTGACCTCCTCAAACACAAGGGTCCTAGACAACAAGACATATGGATTCTGACTGCTGCTAGGTAAAAGCAAGCTAATCCACAACTTCATTATTCAGGTAGTCACAAAGGTGGGAAGGATATTATCACAGAAAGCCTCCCTTAGTTAGTGCTACCTGCCACTGAACTTATATGCTGTGTTTTTTCTGAAGTTGGTTCTGCTTCCCCCAAACAAGGAGGGAGGCAAGTATTTGTAGGCTCTGCCCCTACATATGTACCAAATTCTCTTTATGCTTCTAATGAAACCTTCAGACACATCCCTTTAAGTTTCTACTTATCTAGCCTTTTATTATGGAATTAATCAGGTTCCTTTTCAAAACACCCATCGTTGTACATCATATCTCTAAAACCTTTTCATCTTGAATGACGGAAACTATCTGAGTGGCAACCTCCCAATACTACCTTCCCCCATCAAGTCATCTATGAAGAGAGAAAACTCTATTTATTCTTCTTCATTGTGGGTGTATTAATTACTTAATTAAATATGGTGGTTTGAATAGGGATGGTCCCTATAGACTCAAATATTTGAATTCTCAATCATTGGGGAGTAGTGCTACTTGAGAGAGATTAGGAAGTGTGGCCTTGTTGGAGGAAGTGTGTCATTGGGGGTGGGCTTTGGGATTTCAAATGCTCAAACCAGACCCAGTGTCTTGCTCTCTTCCTGCTGCCTCCCTATCCAGGTGTAGAACTCTTGCTACCTCTCCAGCACCATGTCTACCCGAGAGCTGCCATGCTTCTAGCCAAGATGCTAATCAACTAAACCTCTGAAACTGTAAGCCAGCTCCAATTTAATGTTTTTCTTTATAAGAGTTGCTGTGGTCATGGTCTCTCTTCACAGCAATAGAACACAGATTAAGACATTAATTAATTAATTACATCATTAATTAATTGATTAATTTTTCTTGCCTAGAATCAGCTAGACCCTCTACTACTACATTAACTGAGGTGGTGAAAGTGGGCACCAATGACTTGTTCTTGATTTCAGTGACAAAGGTTTCAGTTGATCACCATTGGTTAGGATATATCTTCAAGCTTTTAAAGCATGGCCTTCATTATGCTCAAGTAATTTCCTTCTGTGATTGGTTCAGTATGTCTTTTTAAATCAGGAAATGTGTCGTGCTAGTTAGTTTTTTGTCAACTTAACACAAACTCAGTTTAGAAAGAGGAGTCTCAGTTCAGAAGATGCCTCTGTCAGACAAGTATATAGGGAATTTTCTTGATTATTGATTGATGTGGGAGGGCGCAGCCCAGTGCTAACCTTGGACAAGTGGTCCTAAGTTGTATAAGCAAGCAACCTTAGCAAGCCATCAGGAGACCACTAGTAAGCAGCATTTCTTTGTGATCCCTGCTTCAGTTCCTTCCTCTGGGTTTCTGCCTTGAATCCCTACCCTCACTTTCTTTGGTGATACACTGTTAGCTTTTGGTCATGGTGTTTTATTGCAGCAATAAAACCCCAAGACAGATGTCAAATTTTGTCAAGTGCTCTTTCTATGTCTCTTGAGATGAACACGTGATTTTTATCCTGTGTTTTGTTAATGTATCTGAATTACACACACACACACACACACACACACACACACACACACACACAAACACCACACATACACGTGCATACACACAAATATACATATGGAGGGAGACAGAGGGAGAGGGAGAGAGGGAGGAAGGAGAGGGAAGGGGAGGGGAAGAGAGAAAGAGAGAGCAGGAGAGAGAGAGAGAGAGAGAGAGAGAGAGAGAGAGAGAGAGAGCAAGCAACAGCTATTTGAGCTGGTGATAAGCCCTGTGTAACTATAACATGTGATCTTTCCAACATTATCTTGAATTTGGCTTGCTAGTATTTTGTTGGCGGTATTCTTCTATATTTACCAGGGTCAATGCGGCTTTTCATTTCTTGCAGTGTCTTTAGTATCAGAGAAATCCTCACTTTATAAAAAGAATCTGCAAGTGTTTCAATTTCAGATTTTTGAAGAGTTTGTGAAACAATGGCCTGGACTTTTCCTCCAGTGTTTGGTAGACTTGTCTACTATTTTCCCTTCAGAGAGATGCTAGAGTTCTGGTTCAATTCTCTTGCAGCTGATAGCTGTTCAGATTTTCTGTTTCCTCATGATACTGCCTTGGGTGAGTTACAGGTTTCTAGGAATTGATCCATCTCATCTAGGTTACTCAAATTTTTGGCCTATCAAGTATGGATATATATAACTATTCATACTGGTTTCTCATATTTTTTCTGTGGTATTAGTTATAAATTCTGTGCTTTTGTTTTTGATTACACAAATTTGGGTCTGCTCTCTTTTTTTTTCTCTTTCCATTTAAAAATTTGTCAGTTTTGTTTATCATGAAAAACACAGTTTTAAATTTTTGACATGTTCCCTGTGGAGGCCCAAAATACTCAGGATCAGAAAATCTGAGCTTGCTTTACCTACCCAGCAGGTCTGCATAATGGGATGATTTGGCCATGGACATGTTTACCAGGTGTTTGGAAGGGTCTGCACTTGGCTGTATGGTGTGCTTTGATCTTGCAAGGGAGAGGTCTTTTGCCTCTCCCCTTGACATATTATAAAAAGCCCTTTGAATAAAGTTCTGGGCTATTGGGTATTGATCCAGGGCCCTCCCAAAGATATCTTGTGTCTCTATTTTTCTCTTCATCATCTAGGTCTATCTTTCTACCTAATATTCTCTCATTCCTCTCTCCTCCATCCAAGAACCATTTGATAGGTGGGAGGAGGTCGGAGCTGGCATCTCGCAGTCTCCTAGTTTCCCTCTTTTATGGACTCATGGTCAAATGCTTACTTACTGTTTCACCCTTCTGCTGACTCTGGGCTTAGTCTGTTCAAGTTACACAATGTATGGAGTTATATTGTTAGGATATATTTCAACATACTCGGTCAGATCTATAAACCTCCATTATTGCTATCTGTGGTATCATGTAAGGTTCAATATGCTGTGTTTTGTTTTTGTTTGTCTCAAGCGATTTTTCTATTTTCCTTTGAGTTTCTTCTTTAACTCACTAGTTGTTCACAAGTGTGTTGTTTAACTCCAACTTATTTCTGATTTTTCTAGTTTTCATTCTGCTATTATTGCTAGTTTCATTTCATTGTGGTCACTATCTACTTGGTATGGTTTCAACACATAATCTACTTGGTATGGTTTCAACATCTTAAATTCGTTGAGACTTATTTTGCGACCTGATATTCTCTCAACCCTGGACAATGTTCCAATTGAAAGGAATGTGTGCTCTACTCCTGTCATCAGAATGCATTGCAGAGTCACCTCGAGGCATCACAGGGGACTGGCACCAGGGCCATCACAAATACTCAAACCTACTGATGCTCTAGCCTGTTACTGTATGCTTAATAATTACTTATATTGCCATTGAAATGTAAATTGTATGTAGATCTTTTTTAGGCAGTATTGCTCTGGGTATAATGACAAGTAATATATCTGCCTATGTTCAACACAACTATCATAGTCCAACTAGGTGAACAAGAGGCAAATAGTGCTCCATGATTGCAAGAGAGACTGAGGAACTGAAAAGGCTATGGTAGAGCATTCCAACCTGTCACTCCATGCACAGGGGCCCAGAACAGTACTTGCCATTCAAGCTTTGCTTTCTGGTTCTTCTGGAGTTCTGTCTGTTTCACATAGTTGATGCTGATGTTGGGTGTATGCATAGTTATAGGCATGATATTTTTTAATGGATTGGCTATTTTATCACTATGTACTTTCTGTCTTTTATAACAATTTTTTTTTACATTAAGTACTTCATAGAGTCATGTTTTATATGATCATTTGGCTTATTTTTTTTCTTAGCTAAGGATTTTTCATTTTTACTGAACTTTATAAAAGCAACTCAAATTGTCTTTTTCTATACTTTCTTATTTTCATGCCTTAAGTGTGTTCCTAAGTTTGAAGTGACTCTCTTGTGGAAAGTGTACTGCTCAGCTTTTTATCTTGCAGAATCTGTCAGTGACTGTCTTCTGATTGAGAAAAATTATCCATTTACATTTAAAGACTTTATTGATAGAGATGTACAGCTGCCAGCTTGTTCATCTCTCTGGTTTTGTAATTTGTTACCCTTTTCTTCTCATGCTACTCTCTTTGTCTTATTCATTTTTTTATGGGGATATACTTTGATTCCCTTCTTATTTTCTTTGAAGGGCCTTTTGTTCAAACCCTGTCTGGTTAGCTCAGGATTTACTTTAAATGTCGTATATTTGTAACTATCTAATTTAAGCTGATCACTCACATACTTTTACTCTTTTACTTCTTCACCCCCTTGTACTACATTACTGGTGTCACGAGTCACATACTTCTGATGGTGCAGTCAAGAATGCATTAAGCTTCTTATACTATTCTTTAAAGCCCTGTGGCATGGGTAAAAATTATTTACTCACAGCCATTAGAGTATCTTATATTTGTTTGGATATGTTCCTCACCAGTGAACTTTGTGCGCACATGCGTGTGTGTGTGTGTGTGTGTGTGTGTGTGTGTGTGTGTGTATGTGTGTTTCAGCTTATAGAATAAACATCTGCCTCATTTCATATAAAATTCATCACTACGTCAAGTGGTGA